GATTAATCAATTTGACAATTTTGGTTTAATTTTTTTTTTTATATAGGGATGCACGTGTGGTGATTTGGTTAATGTCTTCAGTAACGAGAAATCAGCGAGTCGAGGTTCAATTCCAGTCGAGTCCATGACATTTTCTTTCACGTATTTCTCTTGGAAAGCGTATGAATGTCTTTCAAAAACTGAGTAAAGTATTTCGAAACAGACACATACCGTTAGAAAGAAAAAGCATAGTATTGAACTGCTATGAGGTATCAGTCTTCTTCTATGGCAGTGAATGCCGGTCAATCTACTCACATATGAAGTTGAGACTTGAAGCAAAAGAAATATCGTTTTACAGAAGGATGCTGAGAATAGCATGAACCGAACATGTGAACAACGTTGAAGTTCCCGAGACAATGGATACAAAAAGAATATTTATCCTTAATATTAGGAAGAGAGAGTTGAAATTTCTCTGGCGCATAATGAGGAACTACATCTGACAGCAAGGACTCTGATTAGGAGGTTCTGAGGTACGTGGAACCAGGTCTTAATTGCTGACCCGCGGTAGTAGCACCTCATAGGGTCCCATCTAAGGGCAATTAGTTAACCCCCAAACTGAAGTCTAAATACCATGAAATCATAAAAATAAAATATTTATAGTTAAAATACCAGCAATATATTCTTGAAAAAAAAAATACCAGCAATACATTTTTCAAAAAATATCAACAGCAATGCATTTTTGAAAAAACATATTACCAACAATGTATTTTTGAAGAAAAAAATATTACTAGCTATATATTTTTGAAAAGAGAAAAATATATATTACAAGCAATATATTTTTTTAAAAATGACCATCAATACATTTGACTCTTGACAAAAACCCTTTTTACAAATAAACACCAGTGAAACCTGATCTACAAACTGATTTCTTACAAAGTATACATATTCTTTTCATACAAACCTATCCAAAAAAATCTTGTTGGTAGTAAATTATCCATGCCATAGAACAAAATAAACCAAACCATAATGAGGAAAGAGAGCTTGGTAATTTTGATACTCAGAAGAAATATTGAAGGTAATTGGGCCAGAGCGAATGATATGGGAGAGATGACAAAAAGGTAAAAGTTATTAACAGCGAGAAAGGAGAGTAAATTACCCCACTAGTGCGGAAAAACTTGAGGCAACAAAAATGTGGCTCTACAGAAGGATACTGAGAATTCTATGGACGGAGCGAGTAAACGATGAGGATTAAAATGGGAATAAAAAGAACGCTTATGTTCAGATCCAGAAAAAGTCAGGTGAAATGCCTTGGATACATAATGAGAAGGGAGGGATTAAAAAAAAACAAAACATTGAGGGCAAATATTGAGGGCAAGAGAGAAAAAAGAAAGCCGTGAATCTGCTACCTGAGGGACTTGCATGAATAGCTGACGGATAGAGGAGCGGAAGCTTTAGCAGAAGTCGAAAACTGCTGAGAACCACAAGGGATAAGAAGTTATGGTCAGTTGTGTCTATATGGGATGTGGCGTATAGAAGAAGAAGAAGAAGAAGAAGAAGAAGAAGAAGAAGAAGAAGAAGTAGAAAAAAGGAACAGGAGATAAAGAAGAAGCAAAAGAAGCAAAAAGAAGATAAAAAAAATCAGAAGAAGAAAAAAAGATGAAAAAGAAGCAGTAGAAGAAAAAGAAGAAAAAAGAAAAAAAAGGGGAAAAAGAAAAAGAAGTAGAAGAAAGAAAAGAAAAAGAAGAAGAAAAAAAAAGAAGAATAAAAAGAAGAAGCAAAAGAAAAAGAAAGAAAGAGGAGTAGGAGTAGGAGCCAAGGAAGATGAACGGAGCATCACTGGAGAGGTTTCTATCTAACTAGAACATTCATAAGAGGAAGAACCTTCGTAAACAATGTAGAGACTTTTTTTTTTTTTTTTTGTCGGGTAAAATCCCAGATTACTTCTAATATGAAATTAAAGTGTAATTGAAAGTTGTTTTCCGGTTGGGAAGCGGAAGTCGAAAGTGAAATCGATTATATATTTCCTAAATAATCTTCAAATGAATTTACATCTCTTTTTATACCATTTCTGGTAAAACATAATTACTTTGTAAAAGCCAATATATATATATATATATATATATATATATATATATATATATATGTGTGTGTGTGGATTTTATATATATATATATATATATATATATATATATATATATATATATATATATATATTAGAAAAGGAACAAAAAACAAAAGGGTTATAATTTGACAAATTCTGATAACGAATTATTTTCGGAATAAGGGAACCCGCAGGAAAGGTTTTTAGATTTTGAAATCTATGCTGTTTGTTTTCATTGGTTAGATAGACATAAGAGTAAGACTATTCAAAAATGATGTCCATCGTCTTTTCATGTTGAATTGAATATAGTCTAATGTTAATTATGTTTTATGAATATGTCCTGAAGATGGTCTACTAGACCGAAACGTCCGATGTTGATATTATATTAACATTAAAACAGCATAATTGCATATTAGGATTTTTGTTTGTTTTTCCGTATATTTTTCTTCATGCTGTCGGATCTATACCCATATATTTGCTTACATATGTATGTGTATATATATATATATATATGTGTGTGTGTGTGTCTGTGTGTGTATGTGTGCGTGTGTGTGTGTGTGTAATTTACTAATTGTATTTCAGTTATTCGTACAGTTACAGAATAATAAAAATTATTATGTTGATATGTTATTTTTTTGAGCATCATCTGGAAGGTACCACACCGATAATGAAGGGTATATGCCAATGACATAGCTGTTTTTAGTTGGGATATGAATGATCTTGAACAGAAAATTAACAACATCTAATAACTTTTCCAAGAAATAGGATTCAAGACAACCCGATTCCAAAACAGAAACTATTATCTGGAATTGGAATGAAAAAAGTGATGGAGTATACCCTGAATCGACAATAAAGATTCTGGATGTGGAATTAGTAAATACTAAACAGTACAAATACATCGGCGTATATAACGAATTTACTACAGAAGATAAGGAAATTGAAAATACAATAGGATTAGTCTCGTCTAATAACTCAAAATTTTACTAAACTAAATCATTAACCTGAAATCGGAGCCAGATCAAGACTTTCATACGGATGTCATACATAGCAGCAGACCCGTCCAGAAATATCTAAAAAAAAAGTCATAGTCAAATTTTACCGAACGCAATACTAAAAAGATTAAATATAATTTTTCGTTGAAGCTGTCTCAGCCATTTTCATCACAGAATAACATACGCGTAAGCATCTGGCATAGAAATGGTAAAAAGGTTTTTAAGAAAAGATTTCTTAATAATTACAAAAATAAAGTCCCGGTATAATTTTATCACAGACTAGCAGTAGAGCCCGGCGTTGCTCTGGGATGTAACAGTAAGAGATAGATCAAGTATCGACCTTCATAAAGACTGAAAAATAAAATTGACAAAGATTATCGTTTAAGGTTGACGGACACGCATGTCTTAATTAGTTTTTTGTTTGTTTTTTTTGTTTTTTTTTTTTACGAATTGGTCAAACCCAAACTCAAACAAAAACATTGTTTTCAATCGTTATGAGTCTATCGATTGAATAGAATTTTATTATAAACAATTGTCTTGTAAATGGAATATTAAAAGCATTCTGAATGTAAAAATAAAAAAAAAAAGTGTTATGGGGACAATAAGAAACACTACCTGCCAAAAAAAAAGTGAAGTTTTATTGAAATCGGTTGAAAAATGTAGGAAACCCGATCCCATATATAAACGAACAAGCACACACACAAACAACCTGGGTTTTATAATAAGTATAACTCGATATGAGTTGTCTCCCTTTCATTCTGGCGAGTGATGCCTCTTAATCGTGTTTTCAAATTGATTTCGTGCAAAAACAATTGTGTTTTCCAATTTTTGACGCTGTCAGAACCACCGCAAGGTAATTTTACGTAGTCCTGTGAAGTTTTGTTGAAATCGGTTGAAAAATGTAGGAAATCCGATCCAATATATAAACGAACAGACACACACACACAACCTGGGTTTTATAATAAGTATGATGACAGCGGTTGACCCACACTGTTGCATGTGATTCGTTTCTTATTTATTCATTTTAAAATAAAAACAAAAAAGTAAAAATTAAAAAATATATTTCTTCTCTTAAAATAAGTATGTTTCTCTTTAAAAAAAAATATATATCTTCTCCAGACAAAAAAAAAAAAAATATTACGAACGTTTTATTTCTAAAACAAATGATATTTACAGGCGAAAATCACCAATCGTTTAAAATGATGAAAATGTTATCTCCATCGCAAAGTTAAAAAAATTCAAGAAACGTTATGCTTAATCATTGTTTACGCATGCGTATTTATTATGTATGAGAAAATGTGAGTGAACAAGTGAGGGCAAAACGGAATAAACAAAATTTTAATAAAAACTTATTTTCCTCATGGAAATCGGCGAGCCTTTCATAAAGCAGAACGGGATACATGTGGCCGGCGGGCTCCACATTGCCCATGACTGACGTAAACTGTCTGCTCTATATAACACCTTTCTCAGATGAATGGTTAAAAATGGCTTCCAACGAATAAATCCTGTAGGTCATACCAAGAACGTTCCTTATTCGAATTTTGTGAACTGGCATCACAAAGAATTTTATCAAATAAAAGAAATCACTTTTTTTTTTAAATTGCAACAACTAAAATGGATTTAACACGAAGAAAAAATGCAATGACAACGAGGATACTGATTTTATAAAATGATTCATACAAAAGGGCAGAAAGGAAACCCTCATCGATACTGTAAAAGAGCGATAACAGCTACTGGACGGGAGAAAACTATTTTCCTGAAAAAGATGTTTTAAGAGATAGATTTTATAAATTTCGATTGAAATAGTGGTTGCTTGGTTAATGAATATCAAATGCTTCTTTATAAGGAATCAACTAATATTATCATTGCTGTTGCATTTACCCGAGTGGCACTTACATCTTGTATAGGGTTAACAATAATAAAAATCTTACAGCCATATCACGATAAAACACCGGTTCCCGTATGACCACCGAAGTTAAGCAACGTCGAGCCTAGTCAGTACCTAGATTACCTAGATTAGTGACCGCGTGGGAATATCAGGTGCTGTAAGCTCAGATGCGTGGGTAGTGTAAAGGATAACGACTCGGAAACTTTAATCGTAGAACCGTGTTCCATTTCCAGTTGGATTCGTTAAATGCAACTAGCCTCGGGAACGGTATGAATCCACAAATTCTCCTCCAGCTATGGATTAATTAGTAAGACTTGCATCACTAAATCATTATCATCGTCCCGCAAAATCCTTACAATCTGAAAATATTTTATGGCTTTAAATAACCTGCAAAGGTTGCTAAGCCTTTGGAAATGAATCAATCAATATGAAAAAAAAAATGACATAATTTAAAATTTGAATACCTGACTAACTACATGTCCCAGGCAAACGAAATTAAATAGGCATCATGTTGACCAATAAAAGATTTATTTATCAAATTTCGAATAAGATATTAAAAAGGATGTTGGGTTTATAACCGATTCGACAAAGCTTCACAAATGTTCAATATGCGCACCATCTGTGACACGATACACGTCAAGACGGTAGTCCAGCTCCTACCAAACACGCTGTAGCATGTCTTGCTTAGATGGATGGCAGAACAAGGTTTTGGAGAGATAACAAAAAGACGAAATTTATTAAGCGTTAGAAAGGAGAGTAAATTGTAGAAAGCCATGGTCACCCAAGTTCTGAAAGGACATGCCACAAAAAAGTGTTATACTGGAACACATCTGTTCTATAGTCTCTCCCACCTCTAATAAGTAGGAGTAGTAAGAGTAACAAGTCAGTCGCTAAGTCGCTCAGTGAGTTGGTCAGTCAGTCGATGCCGGACGACCGTTAGTCGGATATTAATGTATCAGCCACCACAACTAGATTACTGCGTTATACCTATTATATCAAGTTCCTAACGTTTTGTACGTCGAACCTATTTTAGGACCGACTTAGTACAAATACAAGCCTCCACTGTGAAATCACTCCATAATAAAATTCTTTCGACCCAACGTCAAGGATATAATCCCAGTGTTCTTTATTACTTTAAACTTTTGAGATGCCTAAAAGAAAAATTTAAAAATTCAATTTCTAGTTTTTACAATTTGTTTTTTTTTCATCACGAGACACAACGAAAGGGCATTTGTCCAGTCGGTGAAAAAAAAAAAAAAGTGTATTGCTCATAACATTTGAAACAAATGGGTTAATCAGCTATGGATTAATCAGTAATGCTTATATCACGAAACCTTAAGTATTTCAAAAGCTAATTCATAAAATCTAAAAATATGTTATGGCTTTAAATAACCTAAAAAACCATGCTATTTTGAAAACGATTCAATCAATGTAAAAAAATGATATAATTTTTAAAAATTACCTGAGTAACTATATGTCCCAAAATCTATAAGAAATTAAATAGGTGTCTTGATGAAAATAAAACGTTTATTTATCAAAATTCAAAAGGATATTTAAAAAAGGATGTATAATTTTTTTAACCGATTTTTGGCTTTGAAATTTCAGTTTAAAGATAAATTGAAGAAGACACGACATACTGTTTAAATACAGCTCTTTGAAAAACTCTGTAGCATGTCTTGAAATAACATGCTCCACGGTTTCATTGATTGATTCTCTGCAAAAGTTATGTCTCTAGTCTTTTGTTTAAATCACATAATAGACATTTCCTGAACAATTTTATGGAAATCGGTTATAAAGCCTATATCCCTTTGAATAGCTTATTTGAATTTTGATAGATAAATCTTTTCACAAGAACAGAATATGCTTTCGTATATATGTGTCTTCAGGATTTACTGCGTCTAATGTATCTTTTAAGATGTTTACCAAATTTTTTTGTTTTTTTTATATTGAAGTGATTCTGTAAAATGTCCCATGAGGATTTTCAATTCCAGGCCGCAATTTTATTTTCATAAACTTGGAAAAATTCCTAGACTAACCTTAAAGAGAGTCCTATGATAAAGAAATAAAAAATTTATTTAAGTCCATCTTCATAATAAACTATTTATCCATGTAAATTATATGATTCTAATTTATTTTTTTTTTTTTACATAATTTTGCAAAAATGTCGAAAAGTTTTGAAAGTTCGTCTTGACCACCGAACCCAAGCAATGTCGAGATTGAAAAAAAATCAAATGGAAATAATAACCAATAATAATACCAGGTAATGCAAGCGAGGAAATGTGGGTTGGTGTAAAAATAATGACTACTGTCGTGATTAAAAGAATCCAGTAGACGTTTAAATTCCAGGTCTGTTCATCATATTCAAACGATGTAATGCCCTTGAAAAGGCATGTATACATCGATTCTCTCCCAGCTATGGGTTTATTAGTAAGATTTTATCATTGAAACCATTGTTATTTTTTGTCAGTATTCTTAAAATGAAAATACGTTATAAAAATAACCTACAAAGGTTGCTAAAGAAATGAAAACGAATAAAAATATAAAAAAAATGAAATAATTTAAAAATTTTGAATACCTAATCTCAGGGTGTCCCAAACTGGCAAAAAAGAAAAAAATAGGCGTCATGATAAGAAAAGATTTATTTATCAAAATTCGAATATGATATTCAAAATCACTGAGAGATGACATTTTATAACCAATTTCACAAAACCCAAAATAATGTTCAGTTTGTGACAGGCCAACTTCAAACTGACACATAAAAGTCAAAAGACCTGATTACAGTTATTATAAAACACGCTGTAGCATGTCTTGCGTCTTATTGATCCAACGTCTCATTGATTCTCTGCTTAAGTTCTTCCATGGAAATTAATCACATAATTGAACATTTGTGAAGATGTTCCAAATCGAGATAAAGTCTATAAATAGGATTGAGAAAGGTTTGAGACTACACCAATAATAATAGCTATGGGTTAATGAGTTAGACATATCACGAAACCATTATTATCTCAAAAAATAATCCTTAAAATGTAGAAATATTTTCTGGCTTTAAATAACCTACAAAAGGTTGATAAACCATAGAAAACGAATCAATCATTCAAAAAAACCTTGCGAAAATTATCAATGCAACTATTCTTCTCCCAACTATTGTGTTGAAATACACATCCATGAAACTTATCGTCCTTTGTAGCAAATTGTTGTCATCCAGACTAAATATTGAAAAAATGGTCACCTAAAGCAAAAAAAATTTAAAATCGTCATAATGAATCGTCCCTTAAAAATTGATCATCTAAGAAGACAAAATATTGCATTTGACTGAAGGTCTGAGGAAATAAAATCATTTTAAAATATTAATTGATGATTTCACCACACAAATTGTTATGATAAGACTGTAATATTTTCCGTGAAGGTCTGTAGTGACATGGTTAATTTAAAATATTAAATTTCTATTTATCGTTTCTTTTTTATTAAATTGTCGTGATGTCCATAATACTGGGTTTCGTCCATACTTGTGGTTAGAAATTAATTTAAAATATTAATTGATGATTCAACATTCTTGAAAAATTGTCATTAAGAAGACAAAATCACATCACAGTGTGCCAAAATGTCTGGTGAGGGTCTAATTTAAAATATTATTTGATCGATTTATCGTCCCTTTCAAATTGTTTGACCAAGAAAAAAACTAACAAGTTAAACTGGGTGGGAAATTAATTTAAAAATGTGTTGATAATTTATCGTCCGTTAACAAATTGTCAATAAAATTTGGACAAAATATTGATCTCGTGAAGGTCTCTAAGTGGTGCAAATTAAAAAAAATTAATTGATAATTTATCGTCCTTGTGAATTGGGCGAGAAGACATCTATATTGGATCTGTGTCTGACTGTTCATAATCTCAAATTTAATTGATAATTTATATCTATCTATCTATCTATCATATCTATCAAAATATCTATTTCGTATCTATCTATGGTAATTAATTTAAAAATTTATCTCAGTTTGTTCCCTATCTAATCTATCTATCTAAATCTATCTATCTATCTATGGTATGCATCAATTTCAAAATCTTTTCATTATTGATAATTTATGGTATGCATCTATATTCCCAACTATATCTCAAATTATTCATTTTATCTATCTATCTATCTATCTATTGGATCTATCTATTGAAGGTATCTCAATCAAATTAATATCTATGACATCTTTTCATATCTATCTATCTATCTATCTATCTCAATCCGCTCATTTCTTCCTTTTTGCAAATTGTCTGTTTCCGAAGATCTAATTTTCTATCTCTCTCTCTCTCTCTGAATGTATATATATATATATATATATATATATATATCGTCCGTTAGCAAATTTCCTCTTTTTTTATATCTGTCTGTTTTTCTTATCTACAGAAATTAAACCCGTTCCTCCCCTCTCTCTCTCTTTATCTATCTAAAAATGAATTTTCTTGATAAGACAATTTAATATTATCTATGACAGTCTTTTTATGAAATCTATCTATCTAAAATCTATCTATCTATCTATCTATCTATCTCAAAAGATATCTCAGTTTTTTTTTGTATTTCTTTATAATATGTCCCAGCAAATATTTGTCTTGTTTGTAGTTAATGTGCATTTGGTTTTTTTGTTATAAATGTTTATGTAATTTTTTGACTGTGTTTGTTTTTATCGTTAAAGATTTTACTTTTTGGAAAAAATATTCTCATGCTCCTTAAGGAACTGTGTTTCTGATCAAACCGGACTCATAAATAATTACATCGGTTACACAACTTTAAAAAGAGAATTTTATCCAGACGTCTTACGTTACACCTATCTGATCATTGCTCCATTAAAACCATTTAAACACACACAAAACTTACCAGACTCCAATTAGAAACATACTAGTAGAAAACACAAATATAATAACTTCATCCACCTGTAAAAAAAGATTAAAAATAATGGAAGTGAATAAAAAAAGTAAAATGCCAACTCTTAAAAATATTTTTAAAACAAAACTTTGTTGTTGTATTTGAGGAAAAAAGTTCTACAACATTCAAAACATACATATATGCAATTTATCAATTAATTCGAAAAAATAGAATCATCCTTTTGATAATGGCTAAAGGTATAGCATATGAAGTGCTCAGAAATCTATAGAACATTTAGACAGTTTCTACAC